GTAAAGAGTGGAAGCCATCCTGCTGGCAATGAGTCTGTTTCCACAGCAAACCCATGGTTCTGGGATGTCAGAAAGCAGCGCCCAGAGCCTACCAGCAAGCATGGCTGATTATGTCCTCGGTTTCCGTATCTGGAGATGGAAGCACACTGAGTACGGGCCCCTTTCACACCCCCCATCCCACCCTTCACCACTGTACCAAACCCAGCTTCTGTTGACCTCAGGACCCTCAACCAGCCCCTGCTCCTGTTCCAACGCTAACACATACCAGTCTATTCCCATCCCCAAGACTCCCCACCGCTCAGGTCAGTAGTGAGGGCCCTTTCTCTCCCAAGTCCCACCTCATCTTGTATGTCTTGGCCCCAATGGCTAAGGCCAACAGCTGGTGTCCCAGACAGATCCCGAAGACAGGTCGGGGATTAGGCTCAGATATGACACGGCTCAGTGTGGATACCACACTGGGATAGGAGGCAGGGTCACCAGGGCCATTACTCAGGAAGACACCCTCATACTCTGGAGTGGGCAGAAAAGATGATGTCAAAACCAGTAGCTTAACCAGAGAGAGACACACTTGCAGCCCTTACCAACAGAGCAAAAGCCCTGATCTCTGTCTCATTCCCTGTAACTCATGTTGACTTATAGCATCTAGACCAAGGGACAGATCTTCTACCCACGCTGCCTGTCCGTAGCCCTGTACACACCCCAGCTACTCACCCTGGCTGTCTAATGTGTGGTCCCACGGTACCACAGTGACCTCAGCTCCACGCTGGCACAGGCATCGGATCTGATTATACTTAAGGCCACAATCCAAAGCAAGGATCCGAGGAGTGCCCCCTGCATTGAAAACCCTTGGAGCCTGAGGAATAAATGGCACAACAGTTGGCAGCTGTGATCAATGAGGATAGATAAACATACACCAACCCCTGCCTTTGAGGCCTCTTCTGATTTGCCCAAGTGTTCATCCCAGTTATGGGCAGAATAACACTACCGTGCTACAGCTTGCAACACTCTCCCACTCTACCTCTGTACCTTAATTGAGACCTCTGGCACCAGGGGGCGGGCATTGGGGTCCAAGAATGGCAAGGCTGAAGGCTCTGTCCCATCCTGGACCAGCTTTCCCAGCAGAGACCCTTGCTCTCGCAACTTCTTAGTCAGCTCTCGAGTATCCACTCCTGTCAAAATAGCACACTCTGAGATCACACTCCCCCAACTCAGTCATGCATGAGGTTAGACTTTTAGAAGCACTGCATTCCAGAACCCTGAGTCACACACAGCTGTTCTAGGGGCATCAAAATCCTGGGCCATCCTGATGGAAGTACACTACCATGAAGTATTCTTGCTAAAAATATCACATCTGAATTGAACCATGACTTTTAGATTTGTTTACAGAAAATAATACCAGGAGACAAAAGAACATGCTAAACGACGCTACAGGAACATAATCAACAAAATGTAGGTTGTGGGACTCTCTAAAGGAAAACTGACTTGTTTTTGCCAAACAGGTTACAAGGCTGATTGATCAAAAAGACATCAACCAAATGCAACATACAGATCTTACTTAGATCCAGACTCAAATAAGCGGTAAAAGACATTTAGATAATGGAGAAAACTTTGCCTGGATATTTCATATTAAGGAATTGTTATTTTTTTTAAAGGTATGATAAGGTTATTATGGTTATGTTTTAAAAAGGATCCCTTTTTCACAGTGAACTATCTGTGGACAAAATGGTACAATGTCTGAGACCTGCTTTGAAAAAATTAGGGGGTTCTAGGTATAGTGGTAAAATAAGTTTAGTCCTGAGTTAATGATTACAGAAGCTGGGGGCTCATTATATATTATTCCCTCCTTTTGTATGTATGAAATTTTCTATCTGATCAAAAGCTGTTTCTTCTCCAATCCCCAGACCCCAATGTAAACCTTCCAAATTCAATACATTCTATCATAGCCTTGGTCTCAAGTTCCAATAACGCACAAGAGACCTGGGCTTGGTAGGATACCTGGGCTCTGCCCAGATACCATTATGCTCGCGCCATACCTTGCAGGCCAGGTATGCCATGCTGTTGCAGCCACTGGTGCAGGGTGCGGGTGGCACTCCAGTGGCTGGGCGTGGGACAGCACTCTCCCACCACCAGTCCTGCCACATGGATCCCCGAGGATTCAAACCACTGCCGATGGAAGATGGAAGGAAGAAATCGTGAGGAGCCCAGGACCATGTCTTCCTAACTTCTTTACCCATTGTATGGCAGGGACCATATACTTCAGCTACATTGAATGACCTGGTCATTCTGTTAACACACCAAGCACCTTGTGCTTTTATTCTTTACCAACAATGCCTTCCCCATATGAAACACTGAACACCAGGCCCTCTTTAACAACTGGAAATGATATTTTCCTTTCCTTTCTTTACTCACTTTATTTCCACTGTTCTTGCTTTTTTACATTGTATACAACTGTGTGTGTGTGTGTGTGTGTGTGTCTCCACCACAGAACTATGAACTATGAACTCCTCAGGAACAAGGTGCCTGACACATAGTAGCAGTCGACATTTACTGAGTGCCCACTTAGTGCCAGGCATTGTTAAGAGATGTTGGGGGAGGAGCAGTGAGTATGCAAAAAGACAAGGTCTCCGTCTTCACTGTTAATTTGCTACTTAAGGAGCCTGAAAATTAACAAAGCAACATACAAATAAACAAGATCATAATTACAGGCTATGATAAAAGGAGAATGTAAAATAGACGTACAATACCTTATCAAGCAAAAATAAAAGTTCAGGGTATAACACTAGGCATGATTATGCACTTCCCCCCACCCTTAGTAGGGGATTATCAGTTTAAAAAAACACAAATTTGCAACCCAATAGATAAGCATTTAATAACTAAAAGAGAAATGGGTCACTTATGTGGGAAGGGATGGCATACTTAAGTCACATATGGTTTAGTGGTAGGAGGTTTAAAAAATGATGGATACTGAGACCGTTTTTTAGGGATCTAAAGGATAGTTTGGCAGATTCCTCCATGGCCAGGTAGACTAGTCTGCATATAGACTGGTGCGTTCACAGTACATGTACCACAAAGGCATCCATGGTTGGCTAGAGGCTCTAGGAAGGCCTTACTCATCCTGGTTCTGTTAAATGCCTTGATTTTGCAGGTTTGTAAATTCTTATTTTGTCAGTGTGTCTACAGCTAACAAAGCTGAAGATCGCCATGTTAACCAACATATCTCATTATAAACGAGAATGCAGTGTTATTTATAGATCTGTGAGAAGGAATGGTCCTTTCCAGGAATAACAAAGTATGTCCCTTACCTAGGGTTCCCTATTGTAAGTGTTAGAGTGAATTAAAGAACTAAAGGGGGATCCCTGGGTGGCGCAGCGGTTTGGCGCCTGCCTTTGGTCCAGGGCGCGATCCTGGAGACCCGGGATCGAATCCCACGTCGGGCTCCTGGTGCATGGAGCCTGCTTCTCCCTCTGCCTGTGTCTCTGCCTCTCTCTCTCTCTGTGACTATCATAAATAAATAAAAATTTTAAAAAAATTTAAAAAAATAAATAAAAAGAACTAAAGGCTCACAAAGTCTGGGAAACCAGGACAAAATGCACTTTGAGGAATACTGTACCTAAGCTAGGGGGATTTCCACTATTAATTTGATTTTTTTCATTAGTTGAACTTTCAGGGTGCAACTTAGTTTCCAGATTCCAAAGGAGGAGGAATAGGTGGAACCTCACTGTGGGAGGAGATTCAGTTTTCTTATCTAGAGATAAAAACTCTACTAAAAAGTGGCACAAAATGAGTCAAGGTAAGGAAAGGACGTTTAGAAGATGATTATCAACTTGACTGGTAGGTGAACTGGGACTCACTGGGATGGATGTAACCCGTTTCCAGTCTCTTTCCCATTATGTAATCTTAAAGCATTGCCCCCATCACTCTACTGCTAAAAAATCTTCGTGGGTTCCTTACTCTTTGGCTTGGCATCCAGTGCTCGGACTTCTCTAAGTACTTCAAGTCCTGGGTAGGATTTGTCTTAACACTTCAGTGTGTATCTTTGTTCTCTCCAGGATGCCTAACTTAATGTCAATGTCTTCACTTGACTAACAGTTAATAACCATTGATTTGAAAAGGAAAGTAGAGAAAGCATTGGGTGTGGCTACCTTACTGAGACCGAACTCATCCACTTCATCTGTGGGGATGCCATAGTTGCCGATCAGAGGATATGTCAGCACTAAGATTTGTGCTTTGTAGGAAGGGTCAGTGAGAGCCTCGGGGTAGCCGACCATGCCGGTTTGAAACACTGCAAGAAAAAGGCAGGGCTGGGGCTCAGGCAGGACACCCTTCACAACACTGCTCAGGGTGATGACAATGCCTCAGCAGAAGCTGCCTTGACCTTGAGGGATAAAAGGGGCTGGGGTGGGGACAGGGGCACCAAAGGGGGGTGGGAGGGAGGGTGTGCAGGCGGGAAAATGGCGGGTTTGGGCAGGGCAAGCTGGGCAAAGAGGGGCAGCAGAAAGTGGGATGAGGTCGGCAGCCGGCCCGAGCTTGCTTACCCACTTCCCCGGCAGTCGACACAGCGGCCCCAAAGGGCTGGCCCCGCAGGACCGACCCATCTTCCAACATCAGGGCCGCCATGGGAACGGAGCTGAGGCGGGGGCGAGCACAGAGAAGCGGGAAGCGCAGCAAGCCCCAGCCGATGCTGGAACCACGTGAGGTCGGCGCGCCAGGAGTCGGTCCACGTGGCTAACCGCGCCGGTGGCTAGAGCGCGGACCGCGGAAGGCGCAGGAGCTCCAAGCGCGCTGGGCGGCGGCAGACTGCGGCGGCGCGAGCAGCCGGCAGCGTGAGGGGCGGGTCTGAGCACGTAAGGGGCGGGGCCAAGCCTGCAACAGCGTGGCCAGCGTCTCCTCTCCACCCAACTCCGCCCCACTACAAAGCCCTGGGAAACCTGAAGAAAACCGACTACCTCAAAACTCTCTCCCGCTCTAACCAAGAAATACACAAAGCCAGGACGCCTCTCTCTAAAAAATAGAAAAAAGAACGACAAAAAAGATGTTTATTATAGTCCAGCACAAATGGGGCACCGATTCTAGTCCATTCTTGGACTGCAGTGTCCACAACACCCCAAGGCTATGCAACTGTCCATCTTTCTGTTAAAGGTGGCTTCAGTCTTGAGGAAGATCTGCAGGCCAACCATGGTTGTCTAGGGGGAAAATCTCCCGGGTTGGGCTAAGATCAAGAAGATCTTTATGTCAGTATGAAGACTTATGTGGTTCATGAAGCCTTGGCTTTTCGGCGTTGGGTCCCCCAAAGCAGAATGGAGATAGATAATGTGATGGATCCCAGGATACCGAAGAACATAAGCAGTGAGAAGTAACCCTGTGAATGACAGACCAAAAAAAACCCCTCATACATCATTACACCAAGGACTACATACTAACACCTAGTTCTTTCCTAGTGTATCTATCCCCTTTCCCAAGGCAATTCTCTTATAGTTTTCTTCTCGAGATGATTTGCAGCAGCTCTCTTATGGCTCTTTCCGAGACGTTCTTCCTTATGCATGTCTCTTACCTTTATTTAGAAGGCCTAATTCCTCACCTGGCGCATACACTTGTAGCCATGGAAGCCATCAGCACAGACACATTGCAAGAGACCGGGTCCATCAGGTACACAGGATCCATTCTCAGGACAAATTTCTGTGAGCCAGAGAAAAACAGAAACATTACTGGATCTCATTATGAAGGTTTCCCAAATATCTGCTTCAACTTAGATTCTCTCAATTATTTCTAGGTCAGACGTAAAAGAAAATTTCAGATAATCAGAATATAGCAAAAATAATACAATATATCTTACATCTTTCGTAAGGGGTTAGAGGTTCAGAAACCTGTACAAGTAGACTTAAGCAACTTTACTGTCAGACCTAAAATGGTGAATAAGAAGGGAGGAAAGGCAGTTCCTGGAAGGGTGGAGGTGAAACAGCATACCTTGGTCCCCAGTGGTGTTGCAAAAGTTCCTTTGCCCTTGGCAGATTTGGTTGTTTATATAAAAGGTGACAGTATTCCAGGCATTAATACCTCCAGGACAGCTGACATCCTGTGGCAGTATCCTGAACACAACATAGGTAGTCATAATGCACAGTTCAAAATTACTGAGCTCATAGTGCTGTCCCTCTTTGGTTCTCTCCCCAACCCTATACCCTTACTTACAGAGTCTGGAGCTGGGTAAAGCCATGGAAGGTGTTGGCCAAGTCATCCTTGAGGGGGTTTGCTTGCAGGTCTCTGCAAAGTACACACTGTTAGCACTGTGCTCTAGGAAAACACTACTTCCACTCAGATATCTTCTTGGGCTGGTAATCCAGTTCCTATTCTGAGTTGTCCAAGTTTGGACATTAATATTCAGACATGTTTTTAGGAGTCCATTCTCAAAGACTTTACTATCAACCCTTCACCACAGTTGCCTTTAGGTAGGGAAGATAACTAACCACTTACATGATGACAGCAGTATGTGCCTGAGGAAATTTTGGACCAAGGTCCTTCAGAGAACAGTTCTGGAGATCCAGCCTGGGGAAAAAAGTAATCAGTGTAATTTTATGTCTCTCCTCATCTGTGGTAAACTAATATAACCCTCTTTTCAGCTAATATTAACTGAATACAGCTATGTTCAGGGCCACAAACTAAATCCTGCGGTAGATGTTTTAATTCTGCACTGTCCAATTCAGTCACCACTAGTTATGTGTAGCTATTTGAATTAGGTAAAAAAATAATGATAATAAATTCAGTTTCTCAGTTCCACTGGCCACATTTCAAGTATTCAGTAACCACTCATCATGTGATCAGTGGCTACTCTATCGGAGAGTGCAGATACAGAACATTTCCATCATGGCAGGAAGTTCTATTGGAAACTACTGTTCTAATCAGTGTATCTATGCATCTGTGCATATATTGGAAGAAATTTGTTCCTTGTCTAAGTGAATCTCACATTGTAGTACTATGAGTCTCAGATCTGCAAAAAGCCTTCAAATAGGAGAAAAAATTGAAGTCACAAAAATGAAAGTTTTTTCCAAGTGCATTTTCTACCATGAATGGGAGGTAAATTATTGGATATTAAGGACTACGCCACCTTATTTTTTCTTCACTATATATTGCTGTCTGTTCCTTTATTCTTTAAATACAGTGCCTAATAACTGCAAAAAATGGGAGAAAAAGAAAACCCTTAGTATCTTAGCTTTCAAGTGGCCTACAGCGTGATAGAGGAAGACCCTCACCAAATGTAAAAACAATATGAACAGTAAAATATAATCTGAAGGGCACCTGTGTGGCTCAGTGGTTGAGTGTCTGCCTTTTGCTCAGAATCATGATCTCTGGGTCCTAGGATCGAGTTCTGCATGAGGCCCCCCACAGGGAGCCTGCTTCTCCCTCTGCCTATGTCTCTGCCTTTCTGTGTCTCTCATCAATAAATAAAAATAAAATCTTAAAAAAAAACCATCTGAAAGAAATCACAGGACAGTATACGAATAATTTTGAGTGGTACTACCCTAAGGATTAAAGAAAGTAAAAAAGATGAGATACTACTCTAGCACTGAGTAATATCATTCACAGAAGATGCTGGAACTGAAGGACAGATATGTTTTAATTTGGTAGAGGAAGGAAATTTCAGGTAAGGAGAGGGGTCTGAACAAAGAAACAAAAACGGAATGCTTTTGGAAGCAGGAGAGTCTGGCTGAAGCCAGATCCTCATGAAGGGCTTTAGTGGACAAATATTTGGAAAAAAATGTTTGAAAGGTGGATTGAGACCAATCTATGCTAGTTTATGCTTTGAACTTTATCTTGAAGGCAACAGACAATTCTAATTTTAAAACCAGAGAGGAAAGATAGAAAAAAATTGATTTTCAGATAGTTTGCTATAGAGAAGAATTTAGGTAATTAGGCAAAGAGAATGAAAGCAGAATAGATGACATTTAGGATTCTCAAGTGAGGGTACACTCAAGAGGAAATATTTAATAGGACGCTAGAAGAATCTTGTGTACCCTCAGCATGGAGAGAGGGCCAAGGATACTAAGAGATCTAGTTTGGGGAAATACCTGCATGGTGGTTAGAGCTGAAGCCATAAGAAGAGGTGGATCCTCAGAGTGTAAAGGGAGAAAATGCAGGGACTAACCATCAGGGAACAGAATTTGCAGAAGAGGAATTAGCCTCAAAAGGCTGAATTAATTGGAAGGGAAGAATACCCTATTAGCATAGTGCCTTGGAGGCTAAGGGAGTCATTTCATGGAGACACACATTAAGTAATCCAGAATTGAAAATAAAAGAACAAGGCTTCTCTTAAAGAGAAATCCATAAAAGGCTTTTTTTTTTTTTAATGGGTAAAAATTATGATTTCTCTGCAATTTCAACCAGGAAGAATCACAGGGTTGTTTACCTAGCTAAAAATGCGATAACACATTTAAATGTGTGAGAATCATGGTTTGGATGCCCCCAAAACGGGCATCAATATTCATCCCAAAAGCCAATCAGACAAGCCTTTAAGAATCCAGGGTGTGTGTGTGGGGGGGGGTGTCACCTAGATGGCTCAGATGTTTGAGTGTCTGCCTTCTGCTCTGGTCAGGATTTCTGTGACAGGAGATCCAGCCCTGAGGCTGCTTCTCCCTCTTGCCTCTGCCTCTCCCCCTGCTCATGCTCTCTCTCTCTCTCTCTCTGTTTCAAATGAATAACATCTTAAAAAAAAAAAAATCCAGTTTAGGGTGTGTGTGTGCCTGGGTGGCTCATTTGGTTAAGTGTTGGACTCTTGATCTCATGTCAAGTCTTTTTTTTTTTTTTTTTAGATTTTATTTATTTATTCATGAGAGACAGAGAGAGAGAGAGAGGTAGAGGGAGAAGCAGGCTCCCTGCAGGGAACCTGACATGGGACTCAGGACACCCTGGGCTGAAGGCCGCGCTAAACCGCTGAGCTACCCAGGCTGCCCTCATGTCAGTTCTTGATCTCAGGGTCTAAGTTCAAGCCCTGCATTAGGTTGAAGACTACTTTAAAAAAAAGAAGAAGAATCCGGTTCGGGAACTCTTCCAGTATCCAAAGTTGTCTTTTCCTCCCTCACCCCACGATGGTGCCCTCTTGATTCAGGCAGCAGCGGTTGTGCAGCATTAGCCCTCGTGTCTGCTTACAATAAAGGGTCACTTCTGACAAATTTCGCACACTCTCTGGACACAGGATGCATATCTGCAGAAGAGGAAAAAAAACTATTAAGATTCCAGAAAGAAAAGCTAAGAAAAGGACAAACAGGTATCAAAAGTTAACTGCCAGTACACTCTTCGGAATCCTTATTTAACATTGGGCAGATAAGTGTCCTATCTTTATCATCAAGTTTGACTAAGGTATTCATTTCTTCTCCTAGAGCCAGGAGCCAAATCAACACACTAGACTTTCTGCACCACACCTTGCCCAGGAAAGGCCCTCATCTTCGAGGATCACTGCTTGGGCATACTTATTATGCCCTCTCCATTGACTTCTCAATCTGACAGACCCGGTTTGGCCAGGTATAAAAAGAACTCATCGAGCTTTACACAAAGTACAGTACTGCCCGAGCACGATATACGGCATTCGCGCGTGACGAGCTTGAAGAGGAGCCAGAGGACTAGGTCAGTAGTCGAAACATTTAAAGTTATTCAAAGATTAAGGAAGAAGGAGATCACATTTTAAAGGTCTACGTCAGCAGGTCGAGGGCACTGGGAGACCTGCGCAGCGTGCGTACTCGGGAGCCGCAGCCGGCTGGGCCACAGCTGGGGAAGCCTCAAGGACCAAATCCGACCCACTGGCGGGCTGGGGAGAGCGGAGAGCCGAGGGCGGGCGATCGCGAAACGAGGCTGCCCAGCAACTCTGTTTCAGCCCGACCTCTAGCTTGCTTCTGTACCTCGGGTAGCGCCAGGGCCCTTTCCGCGCCCAGAGCGAGGAGCACGGCCGCTGCCCAAGGCACCAGGAACGAAGAACCGCCCGACCCGTGAAGAGCCATTTTTTTGCTCCCTTCGTCCTTCTCAGCGCCTCGCGAGATTTGCGCGTGTGGTCCAGCCCTCCCCGGGCGTGGCCTAGTGCCCCGCACGGGCTGGGGCTTACTGCTGCTTGAGGTCAGAGCTCTTCTCTGTGCGCCCCAGTCCCCGCTGGGGAGGACTGGTCAACTCCTTCTCCTTTTTCCCTGTTAGCGAAGGCTACCCCGGTGCCGCTCTCTCAGCTCCGCATTCCTCGCTTCCGGACGCCGAGGTCGCGTCACCGCTGTGGCTCGCGGCCCACTCCGTCCGCCCTCAGTAAACATGGCGGCGCCACGTGAGGCGGCCAGGGGGCGGGCCTCCGCTGTCACTCAGCCGGCACGTGGCGTGCCCGGCTCTGCCGTTCCGCTGCGCCCAAAGGTGGAGGAGACCCGGCAGATGGGCCGGACCGGGGCGGGTCGCCGCATGGGGGCCAGGGCCCAGAGGCTTCCTGAGAGTGGCGCGGGGCGGGAAGGGCAGGGGCGGGGCGAACGGGTTCCCCGCGTGGAGGCGCGGGAAGATCTGAGTTGAGAACGCGTGGTGTAGTGGTTCAGCTACCTCACGTGTGGAGGGAAGGCGGGAAGCCAGCAAATAAAGAGGGTAAGGGTGATAGAGGAGCGACGAGTGAAGGGCAAACTCTGGCGGGAGGAGACAAGCCTGGGAAGGTCCCGGGCACCCTGGCCCTTTCACCTCAGTCGGGAGTCCGCGTGGCGGCCGGAGTCTTGGTGAGGAGGGAGGGGCGGGATAAGCGCTTGCCTGCCTTCTCATCTCCCGCTTCCTTCCCAGAAAAACGAAGCGATGCTGATCTCAGGAAAAACGACTGGACCTTGTTAGCCCTGGCTGAGCCACGAGGTAAGGGAAAGCCGAGCGCTACCAGGGTAGCCCTGGGGAGCCGCGCACCTCGCGCCCGCAGGGACTGCGTGTTCCCTTTGGTTAGGGCCAGGCAGAAGCTCGTCAGAACTGACCCATCTTGAATGGCCAGCCCGGGCTTCCCTTCCACATGTGGAATCTCCTAAAAGGATTTGCTTTCAGCGGGCCACCACGTTCCCTAAAGCATTGGTTTTCTAAGGTATTTTCATAAGGGTACCAAAGCCTTTCAGACCTTGAGGAATTCAAGGCACAAGGACAGATTTTGAAGGAATCTTTTCTGGGACAGTTGGTCCTGCAGGTGTCCCCTTTTGCCTTTTGTAGGAGTCCAGGCGTTCAGTGCAGATGGGTGTGAGGGAGGTAGGGTGGTGTAGAATGATTCTCTTCCCTTTCTGTGTGTATTACACTTTTTAAAAGGGGTCTCCCAGCCCACTACTGTGTGTTACAGTTTTAGTGAAACCAGTCCACCGTTTTGGCACCCCCTGTCTCAAAGAGATGTAAATCCATGAAGTTTAGAACAGTGTACTTTTTAGAAAACCACTAACTATCCTGTTCTTAGAATCAAAATCCTGTCGGAGGAACACTTTGTTACTGGATCAGGTTTTTCTTGTCTTACCTGGTTCTCTTCAGCTTATCCAGGAAGGTTCTTTACACTTCATGAAAATAGAATTGTATCAAGAAGCTCCACCAGTTTACCCCAGCAGGAGAGTCTCTAGTTCCTGTATGTCTATGTTCAAGTCTACACTGAGACCTTTTTTCCTCTCCGTAATTGCCATCGCCTTATCACTAACCCTTTATGGCTATGTGTTTTTATTTGCACACAGCAGATACCTTCTGTTTTTCTCCAGTATTTTCCATTCCCTCTATCATAGTAAAATTTGCCAAGGAGGAGGGAGAACTAAATATGTTGCAATGTACAAAGGCCCAGGACATCTTTAGGTTAAACCAGAGTGGCCTCTTGGGAACATTATTCTGGGTACTAACATTTGTGACTCGTAGAACATGTGATCCAAGAGTTGCGGCTCTGATTTCCTCTCTTTGTTGGCCCCATGAGGTTCAGAGTTCAGGTTTGGTCTGTGTAAGGCCGTATCTTGCCAGCCAGGCAACATCTGCCCAAGAACACAGTGTGGGAGAACTAAAGACAGGCAGGCTGATCTTTTTGCTAGTGGGCGAGAACAGAAGACATAGGTTAACAGGTGTCTAGACTAGTTGGAATCTAAACTTTGTTCCATGAATGACTGACTACAATTAACATTCTGCTTCTGCCCTGGTTCTAGGAATAGTGAGAATGAGCCCCGTGGTAAATCACCTGCCCTAAGGCCCCTGGAAAGCCACCTGTCTTCCGTGCAGATAGCACCTTTCTATTTTTCTTGTTTTTGTTTTCTTGTTATTGTTTCTTGTTTTGTATCATGCTTTGTAACCTTAATCAAGTTCTTTAATTTTTCTGTTTCCTTAAGAACTAGAGAGTTTGTGCAAAGTTCATAAACTGAAAGGTGATACCAAGGGGTACTTTTTCATCGTTTATCACTAGTAAAGCTTGTAACATACGTGGCACACCGCTGGGTTGCAAAAAGAGCTGAGTTGCCTCACTAAAAAAAAAAAAATAAAAAGAAAGGGGGGTGTTCAGAAAGCATTAACTATCATCATTTAGGCTATCTGAAAACCTGACATGCTTTTGAATTTTTTTTTTCTCCATGTCAGCGAGTAATATCTCTCATGGATATCCTCTAAAGACATTGTGGTATACATGGAGAGTGGATGGACAGGGAGTCAGTAGACCTGAGCTCTAATCGATGATAATTAGCTCTGTGGTTCTGGAAAGATCACTTGAGTCATCTGGGCCTCAGTGTCTTTGTTGGTAACTAAGGGGGTTGTGATAGTGATCTCTTAACGTTCTCTCAAGTTTTAAAGTAATATAATCCTGTCCTTGTTTTGAGGATAATGCTATATTCTTTGAGGATTAGTATTTTTTGTGCAGGAGTCAGGAAAGCAACTTTCCCATTTCTCTGGGCTCCTCCTTTCTAATTCTCTCTAACTCATAGTGCCAAGTGTGACTTACAGTGAAAGCTTAATCCAGCTAGGAATGCTGTTGAATGTGAGCTCCCTATTCCCCACTCTGGAGCCTCTAGGACTGAGCTGGAGTTTGGGGGCCACAGGGTAATTAGGGCCATTTGGATCGCATTGATTGGTTCCCTGAAGGGGCCAGAGCAAATAGCTGCCGAGCTTCACTCCGCCCCTAATTCCTGATTTCACCTCAGCTACTTATAGAGCCAGACCCTCAGCTTCTGCCCAGCTCCAGACACACACAGCTTCTCCAGACAGCACTGCCTCAGAACAGAGAGTCTTCTCCAGGTAGGTGCCTGCCCCAAAAGGAAATGAACACTTTCCCTGGCTGGTTTGCTTTTCTGTAATCGTAACTCTGAACCTCTGGTTCCAGCATGTTGCCCTCTCACTTTTGAATCCCAGCACTTTTCCCAGATTTGCTGTCACTTATAGTGTTATACAGAGAGGGTCTGAGAGGTAGGTGGCAGGGCTTATCTAGTAGTGTTGGGGAGAATGAAGAGATTGGCCTGGGGATGCGTGGAATGGAGTTTGGGGCTGCCATGTAGATAATCTTACTGGGGATCAGTACTGAGAAGGGACCCTGTTAGGAAGGTGACACTGGGAATATGAGAATTGGGGGCTTAGGCTAGGGGAAAGAGAGGAAGCCATGCTGTTATTAGTCTCCATTTTTTCCTTTTTTTCTTTCTTTCTTTCTTTCTTTTTTTCTTTTTTTTTTTAAGATTTTATTTACTTATGGGAGACACAGAGAGGCAGAGGGAGAAGCAGGCTCCCTGCGAGGAGCCTAATATGGGACTCGATCCCAGGACCCTGGAATCCGGCCCTGAGCCAAAGGCAGGCTCTCAACCACTGAGTTACCCAGGTGCCCCCAGTCTCCATTCTTTCTTCCCTGCTGGGCTGTGGCGCCAGGCTGGGGTCTGCTGGCTTGGTATATTGTAGAGACTGCGTCTGTGCCTGTAAGTGGGCAGGGAAATCTTTGAAAAGAAATGCGGGCCAGGGTTGATTTGTGTGTGTGTGTGTGTGTGTGTGAGAGAGAGAGAGAGAGAGAGATTGAGGTAGAGACCTATGAAGGTTCTCTTTCATTTTAAGATTTAATTTATTTTAGAGAGGAGGCTGAGGGGCATAGGGAGAGAGAATCTTAAGCAGACTCCACACTGTGTGCAGAGCCTGATGCACAGGGTTTGATCTCACAATCTGAGCCAAAACCGAGTCGGACACTTAACTGATTACACCTCCCCCCCAGGCACCCCAAGAAGGTTCTTATATTTCACAGCTGTGTATGCCAAAAATGGTCTTGGACAAGCAAGCAGTTGTCTCCTGGCTGTCTCATTCTGCTGCATCCTTCCTCCCTCCCCTACCAAAGCCATACCTCCAGACCTACAAGGGCTGTATAGAGCTGGCTGGTCCAAGTTTGATGGGTGTGGGATACACAGGCCTGAGGATGGGTGCCCATGAAGGCAGGGTAGGCCTGACTAGGAGATGATTTCTTTGCAGCTCACCTTGGACAATGTCACTTGGTGGAGAAGGACTGTGAGATCGTGGCTGGAGTCCAGGCTGTAGCCACCTGCCTGCTACTGCCCAGCTGAGTGGCAGCCCAGAGCCTAGGAGCAGCAAGTGGCTGTAGGTCACAGACAGAGTGAAGATATGAGTGTAGGGGTGGACACCTGCCCCTGGCTCCCAGGCACAGACACAGATACGGTCACATCTACCTTCTCCCTTGTGGACTATGTGGTGTTTGTCCTGCTGCTGGTTTTCTCACTTGCTATTGGCCTCTACCATGCCTTTCGGGGCTGGGGCCAGCACACCGTTGGCCAGTTGCTCATGGCGGACCGCAAAATGAGCTGTCTTCCTGTGGCTCTGTCCCTGCTGGCCACTTTCCAATCAGCCGTGGCCATCTTGGGTGTGCCATCTGAGATCTACCGATTTGGGACCCAGTATTGGTTCCTGGGCTGCTCCTATTTCCTGGGCCTGCTGATCCCTGCACATGTCTTCATCCCTGTTTTCTATCGCCTGCATCTCACCAGTGCCTATGAGGTAAGCAGGGAGGAAGAGGAGTACATAGGACCATTAGGATCAGGGATGGGAAGAAGGAAGA